CACAGCATTTTGGAGTCCACTTGCTCGATCAGGTTAGTCTACCAAAAGACAGAGCCCAGGCTGGTTAAAAATACAGGCACAAAAAGGTGACTGTCTGTTTAGACTGCAGCAATTCTGAACAGATGAACCAGACCTGAGCATAATACAGAACCTGGCAGTCAGGCTGGCACCTACTGAATTTAGGCACACAGCTAGTCGGAGCTATTAGAGTCCAAGATAAGTCATGATTTTGAGACCTTCTACAGAGAAGAGAGTTATTAAATAAAGTACATTTTGATAACAAAGTTTGTCAGTGGATTTAACAAATACACTTAAATTAGATGCTGCTAAAATGTACCTGAAATAATAGCTTTTAAATTTTGCCATTTAGATACTTAGCAGAAAACAATTAAACTTAAACCATTCATATATACCACCAACCATAGGCTAGCTGAATGTCAAGAACAGTGAACTGATGTACCCCTCAAAACATGAGGCACCATTTAAATCACTCTGTCCTCATCTTCCTACTCACACCACCAGTTTACTCACTTGTAGCCATGATACCTGGAGGACATGCTGGTATCCCGTGATCAACTGCCCATCTGTAAGCTCCTTCACCAACTAAAAAGCTAGGAGACACAGAAGAGGGAGTTTAAACAAAACCAAATAACAAATCCCCCTTTTCTTGCAATTATTTTTCTATGTGGTTTGGTCATTTTAAAATTGTTAGCTGTCTACATGGCACAGAAATGTCAGCTATTATTATGGTTGGCAAGCTTATGTAGTTCCATTAAGACTATGCAGCTCTGACATTAAGTATACTATTGAATAAAAACTATGTGCCTATGTGCTACTAAACTTGAAATAATTTGCCATATAASACCAGCTTTTAATTGCTACTGGAGCAGGACAAAGCCACCTATAGTCTTCCCTGCAGTCTATAATGACTAAGATTCTGAGGCCCAACAATATGGGATGAGGCGAGAATGGCAAGACATTTCCAGTAAAGCTGACCATTGCCTTAAGAATGTTGAGAAATGTTTTGAGAAATATGACACGAGCTAAAAATAAATATTATTTACCTGTCTCATTGATTTGCATCATGCATTTGCTAAGATACCAAATTACTACTTGCAAAAAAACAACTGAAAAGCTGTCTTGTGGTCAGCACAGAGCATCCTATAGTAACAACACAGGAAACACTGCCACAGCAATGAATGATAGAAAAGTTGTGTATAGGCATGTAATTCTGAGGAAAAACAAAACAAAACTTTTATTATATATCCTGCTAATCCTCTTTCACCTTAAATTAATCTGATTCCCTGGAGAAGAAATGTTCAGACACATACATTCTGAAAAGCCRCTGTCCAACAGTATCAACAACAGCAACACAGTCAACACATATCTTTCCAATTTCTACTTCAGATCACCTTTATTAAACAAAAATAATGCAACTGCCTCGCAGACACAAGAGGTGAACACAAAGAATTTGCAGTGATTTCCAAAAGCTTTACAGAAATGCCAGTATTGTGAATATGAGGCTAGAGAAGTTACTTCAGCTACACAGAACTCCGCAGAGGCCACATAGTACTATCAATTTGCAACAGCATTATTGATAGAGCAAATTTGTTAGCATTGCTGCAGTTGCAAGTTTTCCTGATACCAAATATCTGATTCTAAGTTGCTACTTTATATCTTCTGACTTAATCAGTGAAATACATGTTCAGTTTTTCCTCACAAAAGTTACCCTTAAAAAAAGAAATCATCTATAAGAGAATGAGAATTATTAATCGTTTATACATCTTAGAATTGTTAATGCAGCCCCTGTTAAACATGGTTCGTATACAGTAAGGTAACGTTCAAAAATATCTGTGACTCACATTAACATACCTAAGAGACATAGGTAAACTTTCACTGTTGCCATAGCCAAATCTAATTAAGTAGTACTCCCTATGGACTAAAGTAAATGTTGAGTTTTATTTGTCTTAAGTTTTCCACCAAGTGCATATCCACAGGAAGAAAATGAGCACATCCTGTTCTGCAAAACAACTTACAGAGAGAAGCAGCATAGAAAGATAAAGTATTATGCCCAAATACTAGGAGCTGCATTTGGAAGAATTTTAAAAACACATCAGTCAGAAACACTACATTTTATTGGTATTTCTTGATTGCTTGTTTATACTTAAAAATAGAGCAATCGCTGCTTTCCACAAAGTGTGCAAATGAACACTCAAGAACATTCAAGATGCATCAAAACTGAAGTAACACGACTTATTTTGCTCCAGCTTGTGTCCTTAATTCCCAGATTCCTCTCCCTTATACAAAATATTTTCCAGATTTCATCCCTGGGAACAGATGTTAGCTGAAGAAGGTATCTCCTACTGATAGCTAATTGAGATCCTGCATTACCAGAGTCAAAAMAACCAGAATCTCAGTACTATTTGTACTATTTATGTGACTTTTCCCTTAAAGGATATATGGTAATAGAATCCTACAGGACAAAGAGCATGAAACAAGTCCTGCAGACAGTCAAGTATCTATTACCTAAATATCACCTAAACAGGACTAAGAGTCTTCATCCCCCAAAACAAGTTTTGTGATCTGGATCTGCACGCAGACAAACGTACCAGCTATCTGGAGGATGTAAGGGAGTGGGAAGCAYCACTCAGGTAATGAGGGAAACCCTTCAGTTGCCATGAGAAACATCCATGGACCCACGTGTAGACAAGCTGCAGCAGGCAAGAGTGAACAGGGCAGTACTTCAAGGTGAAGTAAAACCAAAACTACCCATAAACTGCTATTGCAAAGCAGGATGAGCTAGGGGAGAGAGAAAATGCAGAATAAATCCAACGGGCTTGAGAAATCAAACAAAGCCCCACCAAGTCTCAAAAGCCTGTAGGCCAATTCAAAATACAATATCCCACAGAGGAGAGAGGGGAAGAAAAAAAAGAAAAGAAAGAAAGAAAGAAAAAGAAAAAAAGAAAGGAAGAGTTTGTGCTCTGCTACTCTGAAAGTTGGTTCTGCAACAAGATTTATCATTCCTGCAACCATATCTAATGAAGAGTACTCTGTGGTTGTTACCACAGACGGATCTGGTAAGGATCTGAACACGCAGAAGACAAAAGTTTCCTTGGAGCAAGGAGGTGATGCTCAGATGGGTTTGCAGTTCCAGGCAAACTAGATCATATTATCAGAAAATGCAAGCAAAGAACTCTAGAAATGGTCTTTTTATAACACTTTTTTTTCCTGTAAAGACATGTAAAGCCTCATGTTATTTGCCTCTGAACAGGACCACGTAATACAAGCTCTACAGGGGCAGGCCACATTCTGCTAAACAGAAGTGACAGAAGATTCCCAGCTCAATTAGAGATGATCCTGAATGCAACCAGCTGACTTTGTAACTTTTACCATAAGTTGCAGCAGTCACTATGCAATCAACCTTATAAAGAACAAATTGTTCTAAAGAAATACAGGACACGGATAACGGCTGGTGCACAACTCTGACCTACAAGTTGCACAACATATCTGTCTTGCCTTTGGTATTATACATCCCAGAAGCAAATCTTTTACAAAATTCTGTATCCAGAGAAGGGGAAAAACAAAGCAAAACAAAAAAACACCACTCAGATGGAATTTTTCCTATAGGAGTTACTATTAATCCTGAAAAATGGATACAACCATAAACTTTGAAAGGAGACATTCGGGACTATTTGCATCATCCTGCAACTCCTACATATCTCAAGTTAATAGTAAACAGATGTATGTAAGCATTTTCCCTTGGGAAGCTCAAGTATCTCTTGTTTCAGCACAAAAAATAATTTTGAAAAATTAAAAGCTATCGCTACAGAGATCAGTCCATTGCCTTGGGACCAAAGACTACTCTCAAAGATCCACCTGAAATGTAACTGTGCAGTTGCAATTGTTCTTCCTTTTGTARAGCTATATAAACGACCAAGAATGTCGTACAGGATAATACAGAAAATCTAACGAGTTCAGTATTTTCTCTTCTTGCTTCTGTAGGCAAAGAATATTCTAACTACACCAGGCTGACCATGATATGAGAGAAAGGTGTAAAGACCTCAGAATATCTTTTTTTTAAAAAAAATCCCTGACACATTCTGGGGTTCTCTATTTTAAACTTCCTTTTTTGTTGTTTTTTTTTGTTTGTTTGTTTGGTTGGTTTTTTTGTTTTTTTTTTATACCTCAGTCTGGGTACAAAATTCTGTGTCTTGGAAAAGATGACATGGCACCAGAACCATGGCACCAGTGTAAATTGCCCTCCGCAGGGCAATTTACAGCCTATTTCATCCACTCGTTAGGACACTTGATCACTCCTTCCCCAAAAAATTACCATCACAGACTAAGCTAATTCACACTTATTAAAATTTCTCCTACTGCAAATTAGAAATCTTTCACTTGGAGTTGGCTTTGAAATGTCACTGTACAAACGTGTGCTGAGCACCAAGGGTAAATAAGTAAAACTAACTATTCTGAGTGTTGCTTATGGACAAGACACTCCACAATGGAACTTGCACTGACCTCAGTGCCCGAGTTTTTCCCATGTGTCCTGCACCAAAAATTCTGGCCAGAAAACAGTAAGCAGTTGTAGACTGGACTATAGAAAGAGTCTCTGCTGCTAGTTTCTTTACCAGGACAGGTACTCAGACTCAGCAGTATCTGTAAGATTCACGAATACACYATCTGCCCATGAGAAGCAGGATGAAACTTCTACATCATTACAAATAAAAATCACTTACTAGAAACTTAACACTTGGGAGCATGCCAAAAACTCACTTAGTCTCTTGCTACTTGATTATATAGATATATATTCCCACTTGTGGAGGAACGTATTTCATTCCCAGAACAAAAATGTGCCACACCAAACTCTGTCAGAAAGGCAAGGCATGAAGCTGTCAACACTCGTCACCTATAATGAACGTGAATAGTCATTCAGAGAACTTGAGCTACCCTGTGTGCAGGGGAGCACCTACCCAGCCTAAATCACATGCAATCGTACTCCAAGAGTTCAGATTGTTCCCAGAGTGACTAATTTGTTCTGATAAAATACAAAATGGGGAAGAGGAAATGAGAACCTGTACTAGTAATGAAGGTCTACAACTTCTGCACAATACACTGTATGTGTTGGCTGTGAAGACAGCACTTCAAGCCCTCAGAGTTTGAACTCCCTTGCCATTAAACCTGTTGGTGAGCCAAGATCTTGCATGGCACTTGAACAGTTTACTTCTGCCTTTTGAATAAAAATGGACACAGTTTTTTTCCACTCAGTTATTTTCTAAGTAACATTAACATAAACTAAATCATGAAGTTAGAGCAAACAAATAAAACCAGAATGGGGACTATTCCACATGCTCTGCTTTATGAGCGCTACAGAAAGCAACATGACTGTATAGACAAGGAAAACCCTTCAAATGTTGCTGACTTCAGATCTCTTAACTCCAGAACAACAGAGGGGAGAAAAAACATAACCAATCAAACAGAAACCCCCACACATTTGATACTTTCTTTAGTGGAACCCAACTAAACCCTAGTTTTCTCTCAGCTTCAGAAGAAATGAACTCAAGTAACTGAAATTCAAGTTCCTATTTCTTCGTAAAATTTTCCATTATTAAAGAAAAGAGTTTTAAATGCAAAAACTATATGTTGGTGGGTTGCTACAGGACTTTTTTGTTGTATTTTTTTTTTTAATTTTATATATGTATATAGAACCTACCTTTTTACCATTACAGAAAACTGAATCAATGATTTCCCCTCACTTAGTAAACTGGAATACTGAAAGTTAACCATTTTAGTTCAAGGGCTCTGCTTATCAAATTAAATCATTATTCACAATAAGATTGTTTTAAGATCAAACAATCCTAACTATTCTAGGATTCTTTTTAAAATGACACAGTAATATTCAAAGTTGCTAGCCAGTAAAAATAGGTTCCTCCTCTCTTTATATCATGCCAATCTCAATAAAAGGGTATGTGTTTTCATTGTGATTGTAAATACTATCAAGTTTGCCTTTAAAATGACTTCTTTTTGTTCAGCGTGGGAGGAAATTACTAAATACTGCAAATTTCCACATTACAGCTAAAAAACAGTTATCCACAGACAACAAAGTAGGATTCTCCATATGTATCCGTATATATTGTATGTACACAATATATAAAAGTATATATCAATAAGTATATGATCAAATATTTATATATTCTTTATATACTTTTGAAAAAAGTATGCAGTTTATTTCAAAAGGTAGAGAGAGATGGAGGTAGCGGAATTTCATTCCAATCTTGATGTATTCACAATTTTTTCAAAACACAAGAGTTTAAAAACTCTTGAGAGAGAGTTTTTAGAGAGAGAGAATTCAATAAGAACACAACTGTGAAAATAGTCACAGAAAGAAAGAAGGAAATTTTCACAACACAGTATCACCTTCTATCCACAATACTTCATTCTTCCCACAGCTGCATAAAGTGCATAACAGGTTCCAAGATCAGAGAACAAAGCTAATCTTTTTAATGGCATGCTGTTGCTGATATATAAAACAACATCAACCTTCAAATAGTACATGTAGCAGAGACCAAAGTCTAAAGTAAAGTCAAGCAGAACAAAGCAATTACCAAGGTGGAATTCTGCCAGCAGAGAGTTTTCCTTTCTGCCCTTCACACAATAATCTATTTGCAACTGAAACTGGATTCTTGATTCCTGAAAAGAAAAATTAGCAAAAACAAAAAGGAAACAAAGCATTAAAATATTTTTCCACATAGCATTTAGTGTTCATCCTGGCAATGGAACTCAACTTCCTTTAATTTTCATGCCTTTGTGAAGGCATAAAGAGAAAACTTGTGGTAAGTTTCAATTTAATAACAACTTTATCAGTTTTTCCTTCACAAGTCCTACTAATGTTGCCAATATCTTCTAACTAATTGTTTCCTTTTTGAAATAAAGAAGCATGTTTAAATTTTAGAAATGCCCCATTCACACCAAAAATCTCTAAATGTCTTTGGTATTCCACAGACAAAAGAAGATTTATGAGCATTTATTTTTTCAAGGTAAAGAGCTTTCATTTAGATCTATTTGATCAGAGGAAGGATTACAGGATTCAGGCTTAGCTTCCTTTTACTCCCTTATTCCTCACTTTGAGGAGTATACGCTTTCTAATAAGCAGTCCTTGAACGTTTAATTTTAGTATTTATTTTAGATTTAAATTTACATGAGGAAATAACTTCCACATTGCAGAAATATTCTAGGACAAGGAACAAAGCATGAAATGTCAGAATATCTACTCAATAGTAACTTTAAGATAAAATAAGATCCATATGCAAATTTATCAAGCCTTATAATATGTCAAAATCTACAGATACATATTTTATCAAATGAGAGAAATAATAATMTTTTTTAAAAATCTGTATTATGGAGAATTTTTTTTGTCCCAAGCAAAAAGTCTGACTGATGAACAGCTGAGCTCACTCTCAACAATTCTCAAGTTTGGAGGCTGGTCACTCATACAGCTGCCTAAAACTGTCAAGAAAACCGTAATACCTGGCATATGGATTAAATAATCCGCATATTAAGACAAAATTAAGACAAAGTAGTATACAGAGATGTGTCAGATTTCTTAAGGGGGAAAAAAAAAAAAAAAAAAAACATGCTTACAAATTCCCCCAGCTGGAAAACTTAAACAAGAACAAAATTGATCTTTGCACCAACATTAGTAGTAGCTTTACAACATACAATTAACATACCACTCAGTGCTCCAACTGCTCCAAAATTTAATGACTTTCCATCCATTATACTGGCATCACATTCTATCTCACCCAGAAGGTTTAGGTTAGATCCCATTCCTGCATTTGTAAAAGGAGAATCCTAAAGGAAGAAGAAGACACAGTAAGACCCTGTATCAAAACTTTGCATAACTGGCCTTGATACAGTGCACATTCTGATTCTCGTTGTTTAATGTCCAACAAAACTACAGCAATTTGCATGGGTCAAATTATTATATCACTTTACAAACCCTACAGTGGGTGATACCTCTCAAGTGTAATGTGCTAACACAAATAGCTATGCAACAATGTTTTATGATCATTTATATGCAAGCAAAAACCTTATGAAAAAAATCTTTCTCCTTCCTTCAAAACACATATTTAATTTAACCCCTACCTGTTCAATGATTTTAAAGTGTAATAATCACAAGAGTCTTCCTCTGAAGCTGAAAAGTATGACACAAGCAAAACAGACCTATATCTTTCCTTAAGTTCTAAACCTTAAGCCTACAGTTCAACTTTGCACACAGAAAAAAAAAAAAATAATAATAATAATAATAATAATAATAAAGTGTGTTCCCCATCACCGCAAATGCACTTTGCAGTATTTCTATGTTGTATAAGGACAGTCATTACTATGATCCAGTAGTTCCTTGAACAACAACACTTGAAGACGTATTGCATACAAAGTATTGACGAACTTTTGGTAAGCATTAACTCATYAAAAAGCAAAATAAACTTTTATTAGCATTTCCCGGAGTACTTTGCAAACGCAATGTTTTTGAACAAGTTGTTTTGCACATCAAATTCAAAAACATGTATTTCTGCCTGTTTCCTCATAGCATCCTCATGACTTAAAAGACACTAAGTCTTAAAGCATCACTGTTCAGAAGTCTCCCTTGCAGCCTGATGCAGCCCCCTGCTCACAGACACAGGTACGAAACAGAGCACAGAACAAGGACAGAGAACAGAGCAGGACAGCCAAGAGACCGGGACAATTTCAAAGATACGGTGCATGTCTCCAAAGCTTCATGTCTGTTTTTATTACTTATGGCTTATGAAGGGATGGTTGTGCAGTTCTCATGAACAAGTTACCACGGGAAGAAAATGCTACTCCYAGCAAAGGCAAAAACGAACTTGAATAACAAGGCAGATTTGTTTTTTATTTCACAGTTCCTCACATACAAAGCTCCTTTATAAGGGGAAAGGACTCCTTTAGTATGCCCTGACAAATAAGTTTATAATATAAAAAATGCAGGTGAAGTAATCAGTAGCAAAAACTTGCAAATATGTGAAAAACACTGCTCTACCTGGCATGACTCCATCACTGAGGGAACGCTAATTTATAACACAAATCTGTAGCAAAGGAGATAACAGAAAGCTTTAAGATATGCAATAATCATTTCCTTTTCTGAAGTTTTATCCTATCTCATAAAAAATCATTAAGTTAATTAAGTTACAGTTACAATTAAATTACAGAGAGTATCATTTCCATTTTTGGATTCCCCCCCCCATTTCAAGACGTATTTATAAATGCCCTGGCAGTAATTATGGGCATGCTGAATTTTCTAGCTGTGGTCAAAGCTGGATGCTCAAAGAAGTTACTCAACACTAAYAGTCCCAAATTAGGTCTAGCCAAATAGCTCCAATGGTCCACTTGCAGCACGCCAACTATCTTTGATATAGTCCTGGCCAAGGTTTGCTTGCAACTTTTAAAGAGGATTCAAAGTCAACAGGCTTTTCTTTTTACACACTGCAATTTTAAGATTTATTTTTCTGTGGGAATTTAGTGACAAGAAGCAGTACTCTAGCACGATGACTCCCTTTCAAGTCCATCAGCTAAAATGTTTTTAGAGAATGTTTTTGTCACAGATGGCTGCTACTCACTCTCCTACAACAACATTGCTGGCACCGGCCTTTTATGTTTAAGGAGGAGTCCTTGGGGCTAAGAGTGTATATTCCAAAATGGAATTAAATTGCTATAAATTAAATTAAAAGAAAAAAAAATCAATAAACCAATTTAAGAAAAAAATGAATTATTTCATTGTAAAACTTTTTTGAAAGACACATTTCTTAAGTACACTAACAGGTTAAAAATATGCTTTGTTTTCAATCACAAAAACAAAAAACAAATACACCAATTTCAGTAGCAAGCTGATAAAAAAGAATAAAAGCCTGCAGTCAGTTTAAAATTCAACTTAAATCATGTTCACAAGGAACACTCTACTAAAAGCAATTTTTTTAAAAAAGCAAACATATACACATTAATAAAAAGCCTAAGGAAAAAGTTGGAAATCCTGCTCATTCTCTGCAGCTTAGGTTCTTTTATTTTATGGAATTTCACTGAAAATTTCAAGCTAGAGAAAAATAAAAACCCCTTCACTTTCAAATTCAGTCTTCAGGTGGTAACTGATGAAATGAAGCCAGAGTGATCATATCTCTGTACAMACATACTTTGTGAACAAGGAATCCTATGAAGCAACTTGTCCAAACCCTTGTGTTATCAAAAACAGCACTTTAAATGATCATTTGTTGCACTACAAAGGCAGCTCAGAAACCAGAGATCATTACTCTAATCAGCTTATCAACTACAGCTGATGCTTATGAAGCTTCAGTACTCTGGATCAGCTGCTCTTCTGGGTTTGCAAGAGTACTTGACCTTTCTTCTTATAACTACTACCCTTACATATTAATCACAGATCACTATTTCACTCGAGATTCATAAAGTCCAGCAAATGGTTGTTCCTTTTCTGTTTAGAGCCTGCAAAAATAAAACAAAGAGCAGACAGCATACCACAAGCAAACTGTCAGCTTGCTCATAAAAGATCAAGAGCAAGCTTTGAGTCTCAGCAAGGCTTTGAAGTGATGCCTCTTGAATTAGCTGAAATTCTGTGTAATAGGAGTTGGGTAATTGAGCGGAACTGAGGGGGGGAAAATCATCTTTTGTGACACTTCCATGAAAGGGCATTTGTGTCTTGCAAAGAGTACAGATTTTGGAATACAGAATTAGAGTCTAGAGAACTTAAAAAGTGATTGAAATATTGCAGATAAACTCACTGCAATGTGTTCAGAAAAACGCACAGCAACCAAAATAGGTTAGAAACAGTTCTCTGCATCACTCTGCATCAGAATCTCTCCTTGCAGCTACTGCTGCCCGCCAGGCTATACACAATTTTGCTATTTGTCTTAATCTACATTACAGTGGCAGACGTAAGGAAGGAAGCTCAATTTTCATACAATTTGTAAAGTCAAAATGCTAAAATGCTTTAAGAAAAAAATCAGATTTTTTTTGTCAATTCAAAATGCGAAAATACTTTAAGAAAAAAATGAGATTTTTTGTGTGTGTAATGAAAAGGAAAAAATGATAGCTCATTAGAGGGACAGTCAGTAAACAAACCTCTTGTCTCTTTTTTATTTTAACCTCTGAAGTTCTACAATTGATGAGAAAATCTATTGTTTTCTTTGTTGACCTGCCACCTGCAATTTCTGTTTTTTAAAGAGCAACAGAAAAAGCCTATAAAACAAGACAAAACTCCACAAGTGACAGAGATCTCAGGAGATCATATTTAGAATGGGATGCAAGCAGACACAAACCTTTCAGCATTTTGAAAGCTGAAGTCTAACATTTTGCAATCACTCCTATAGGATCCAAAAACTGTCAGGACATAACACACCGTTTCTGTTTCAAGTCTACCCCTGACTCTTCTTCAAAGTAGCTGCATACACAAATATTTAAAAAGATCCCCAACCCAACATTCTTCATCCCATATATAAAATGAATAGCCCACAATTAAGAGGTTATATAGGTCACTTAAAGAATAAATGAAGACTAATAATTRTACTGATGGCAGCAGTTCAACAATCTGAACAAATTGGTATTTTACCTCAAAGACAGAAAGAGAAAAAAAAAGTTTTAGATGATATATTCAAAAATACCACCGGAGGTAATGAGAAAAAAACAAAATGCAACAAAGAGAGGCATCATCAGAACAGCTGCAAGACAGAAGAAGTTGCCAATTGAAATAATTTCATAAACATGTTTTAGTTTAAGATTTAAGTTATAACTTCTTAACATAAATGACATTTCAGAATATTTGCCTATATTAAAGCAAAAGAAAAACTTCTTGCAGATAACAAGCACAGCTAGAAACAGCTGCAAGTTATATAGCTATTAAGTTAAATTTCTTAAAACATATTTTCCTATCTCTAGTACAYGATAAAACACATAAAACAAAACAGACTTTATTCTGCTGAGAAGGGAACTGGCTCAAAGAACAATCTTCTGAGAGAACAGTGGCAAGTAGTTAGCAGTTAGCTTATAAAAGTGCATCATAAATAATTCCGTTGTAGATACACCACTTGTGTTCACCTAGATAAATTCAAATGTGCAAGGTAACACGTGAAAGCATATTTGAAGGGCTCAGTGAAGACCAAAAGCACTGTTTATCAGCAGTGAGGCTTGCCAAGCCGAAGCACTGCTGCAGCCCTGGCAGTTACTCCGTGTGTCTAACACATGCTGAAGAAGGTACTGCCCCCTTCACACTAACCCCATCAAGTAGCATAATTCACAGTTTCTCAACTCCTGTGTAAAAAAAAATCCACTGCTAATTCTCTGGAAATACACCAATAAATTCCAAACCCAGGAAATTATTTTTACAGCACAGCACTTACCTTGGCTTATTCCTCTACTAACCAAGCTGGAGAAGAAAAATTCCTGCCATAAGGAAATAATGGATCTAGGACCAAATCTCCAAATTTACATCTCAGAAATTCTTTTATCTTTCCTCTCTGTGACCCTATTTTATAAACACCCTTCACTGAACACAGATGCTGTAAGATCTCACCACTCCCCAAAGAAACCCTTCCAAATGCTGATTAAAACAATCCTAGCACATACCATTCTGCTATACAAACAGCACTTATCCTATTCTACACAGCTGGTCATAAAATTCACCCCTATCAAATCATAATTTTCTACTGAAGTCAAATTTCTCTGAACAGCCGACATTTAAACTCCTATCCTAGCAGAGATCATATAGAAAAACAAGTAAAACCATAGGAAAAATAGCCTTTAAAATACGTTACAGTAAACACATAGAAGAAATGAGTTGTGAGACAAATAAAAACTTTATGAAAATAAAAAATGTAAAGTACCTTAAGTGGTAAAAGAGACCAGCAACCTTAGGTTTATGCAATCACTTTTCTAGAATTATGCTGAATAATTGAAAAAGATATGAATAATATAATTCAAAACATCATACTTAGAGACAGTTACATCAATGAGAGTGTTAACCGGATTACTAGAACCAACTACAAATAGTTTAGATGAATTTCTTTATAATTTGTTAGTACTAAAAAAGGATTGAACATATCACCGAATTTCTGTTAATATATGCAACGAGCAGCATGATATTTTCTCCCCATCTAAGAACTGAAGCTAGTGCAGACCACCCCGTAGGCTGGCAAGTCACAGAGTGTTAGATAAGCATTTAATAATTGTTATTCTTGAGGGTCAAAGATTGTATAAAACATAGCTAAGATTACAACAGAATTGCATCAAGTGGATAATTTTTATTTTGTTTATATTTTTAGAAAGTCTTTAAAGTACATTTTCTTCAAACTACTATTAAAAAAAGTAAAAGAAATTGCAGAACTCCTTCCAAGACTGCACAGACAATACATTTAAGACCAAAAAGGAAAATTCAATTAATTTTCCGCACGAATTAGTACCTTCCTATAGAAAAATCTGACAATGTAGCTGCGAGAGATACTTACTGCTAGTCAGAAATTCATACCTCTAATTCTATAAGTGCTGCAGTCACTGCATCTGTTGCAAGAGCACCAGCCTGTAGCTTTTCAATTGCCTGTAAAATAGAATTTTTGCTTGACGATGAAGTAACACTAGGATGGTATGGCTAAGCTATACATTTACTTGAGAACAGGATCTTCACAAATTAGTTTAAAATGACCAAAAAAAAAAAAAAAAAAGAGGCAGTGGCAATAGTAGGAAAGGGGGTAGAGGGGTCAGAACTGAAAGCCTAGTTTTATTGCTCAGTCATTCTGAAACTGCATTTAACAGCAGGTTCCTGCACAATCAAGTTTATAGCAATTCTTATACCTGGTGTTCCCAAACACTCACTGTTTCAGTCAAGGAATTATTATTTTTTCTTCCAAAGTTCAACATGAATCCCTAGGACTGTACAGGGTAATAGTCAGCAAATTGAACTGAACCAATAAGCAAGCTTATGTAAAAGCCAATACATGAAAATAAATCAAATAAGACAATATTATTTTTAATTTATACACAGACACACAAAAAGAAAATTTTCAGATCGATGTTGGACAAGCCCTTCTGGCCAAGTTCCCTCAGTTCCCAAGAAAACAGCTAGGGCTGCATCTTGCAAGACAAAACTGGTATTGTTAGTCCTTAATACAAGATATTTACCTTGGCTACCTAGTTTAAGAAACCGAATGGAATCTCAAATTAGACTTAAATTCAGCAGCAACAACCTCTTTTAGCACATAATTATGTGGAAAACTAATATCAACAGGGCCAATACCCAACTTTAATGAAGGTGATGTTGAGTTTGGATGATTTGAGGCTGCTGATTACAAAATTAGATTGGTATTAGGATTGAGCAACAGAAGTGTAAAATGAAGTGTTAATTATCAAAGGCCAAGTCTGAGACTCTTCTAAAAGGCCAGCCAGGCTCCCCATCTCCTSCCTGGAGAAAGTAAAGGCATTACAAACTTTGCAGACCAGTCTTCCAGCTTCTCAACTGACACTTAGTAGATGAAACTTGCCAGCTACAAAGTTTCTGCAGACCAAAAACTTAATTTCAAGGGAAATTAAAATCTTGCTATTTTTTCCTTTCCAGATTTGGAAAGAGGCTTTTTTGGTTTGGTTTGGTTTGGTTTGGTTTGGTCGTTGCTTCTACCTCCCCTGCCATTAAGAAGTTAGAGCTACTAAGTTAGTAAATAAATAAATAGATAGATAGAGTTCTGGAAATCTCTGTACTCAGAGGGCAGTCTGGAGGCTTCAGCTAAAGTTCCCCACAAAGTGGAGGCAGATGACGAAGGAAAAGTGTCGGAAGACACCACACAAGTGCCACAGCCCCAGGACGAGAGCAGGAAGCTTTCAGTGAAGGTCCTGCTGTGAACCTGCCCTTTTCCATCAGTGTCTGCTATTTGCCCCTGCTGAAAACATGAAAGCAGAGCACTGGGAGAATTTATTTCTTATGCACCTCTATGGAAAACTGTGGCCCTGGAAGACATACCTTCTGACAGGCTCTTTTGCACACATGCTTGTATTCTTTAGCTTTGGATTCAGAATGGTAACCTGCACCTACAATTAGGGAAAAAAAAAGATAGTATTACCTATCAAACTGGTGCCTTTAGATCACATCAGCAACAAAGACACACAAAACCCACAAGATCCACACTTAATCTGGGTAACACCGAAATTTGCTTTTTTAAAATCAAGGACCAACGCCTTTTGCCTCACAACATTATTTCAAAGACATGCAGTAGTAAATGGAACACTCAGCATACATGCGGATGCATGCAGGTATAAATGTCAGTGTAATATAATCTCTTCACAGAACACTCTCTAAAAGACTCCATTGTTATTCATTCTTGCAGAACTTCCAGTATAGTTCATTGTCCTCGAGGACAAACTAGATTAGGAATTGTCGGTAACGAGAGTTATATTTGATTCTGTAAAGGATAAAGCATAAGGAAATAGACTGGCAGACGTCTCACATCTTGCAGGGCTCCCAGCCTTGGCAGAAAAAAAAATGTAGAATTTAACATTTTAAATAGTTTAATCTAGGGAATTTGGGGTGAGTGGGAGATTAAGAAGAAAAGGCAGGAAAAAAAAATAAAAAGTACTTTTCAGAACACCCACCCAAGCAGTTAAGCTACCTATATTTTTATGGTCAGTTTCCAAGGTCCTACAGACAGTGCTGGAGTCAAACTCTCCACACCAACATTTACACCCAATACGAAGGGTAATTGATATTTAAGCCTGCAGATGCACATGCTGTGTTTCTGTATCTTACCTGCATGAACAAGCACAAATCCCACTCGTTTCCCTCTTTGGGTTTGCTTCGTTTCGGGCTCTTTGACCAGCACTTTTACAGCGGTAACCTGAGACGATTTGGAAGGTATCACTTCTATTGAACTTATCCCCTTCTCCATGATCATACACAACGATCACCATCTTCTACTGGAAAAGAACATGCTTCCATGCTTCCAAAACAAACTCTGCTGAGGAATCATCCTAAAACCAAATCACACATGTTAGATACTGATTTCCAAGAGACGTATTTCATATAAAGTAACTTTAGAAAGAATATTATAGCAATAGGTTTGAAGTGAGGGGAGTATTTCTGCCAAAGGAAGTTCTGCCCCTTCCTTAGCTAACAATATCAACATGACCAAGATCACCAATTCAGCTGGAGGAGCCCATGTTGCAAGCTGGAAATGAACCATCAGGCTCCTTTGCAGAGACCTAACACGAACCAAATAACTTTTCCAGGTGTTTCAGCTGACCTAAGACTTCTCCGTGTCTGAGACAAAGTTGCTTTTTTTTTTTTTTTTTTTTTTTTTTTTTTTTTAATTTGACAATATTTCATACTTCTGCACTCATGACTTGCTGGTTTGCACTACGATGATGCTTCACAGCCAAAACATTAACTCCTTAAGAGAGGCATCCCTGTTGGCAGGATGGAATCTATGGGGCCTTTCGTTAACACTGGCACATGGAACAAGCTGGCGTGGCAGAACCTCCTGAGCCCAAACCACATGTTAAGCTCTAAACATAGATAATCGGTGTGCTGCAATGTTTCAAGAAGWAAACAGACATGTAGCTTTCCTGCATGAATGGAGAAAACGTCTCAGATGCACTAGGATACTCCAGCATGGTGCGTGTAAGTCCTAGATTCCTGGAAAGTGATTATTTGTGACCTAAAAAGCTAGAAAGTGCAAAGTAAAGAAAGCTGCTTACATATACATAGCATTTAAATCCCARATTTGCAAATGTTACACTGCTCATTCCAAAAACTACATACACCTATATCTGCACCACCAGAACAAGGCAGAGCATGTCTGGTAAGATTCCTCATTGATACAAAATAGGCAAATTTACTGGCTCACCAGAATTGTCTATTCAGTAATGGTAACTAGGCCATTTTTTAAGAAATCTTTTTATTTTTTCAAAAAATGAATATAATATTACATTTTTTTTACTTTTAAAATTGTAAACATATAATTATATTTGCATACATAAAATGAAAGATCACTAAAACATAAAGRAAAAAATTAATGGCCTGCATCCAGCAATAAGATTCTCTTCCACTAACCTGGAATCTGAAACTAAAGTCATAATCACTACAACTTGCTTCCTTTTGGCAAATAACAGTAATTAAGAAAGCTCCAGCAACCTTTGGTAGCAGCAGTAACATAGAGCGTGAACTGAAACAGAGTCTGCTTGCTGGAAAGCAGCATCCCTGCATCTTGTTACCCTGCACACAAGACATCACATCTACAGGGTCAGGACAAAGACTTCAGCAAAATGCTAGAGGAGCAAACGTGGAATGCATTTTTTTGCAGAAGATGAAAAGAGATGGGATAAAGGGGGTGACAGAAATGATAGTGGAACCATTCTTTTCTTTAAATAAGGTAGAGATGCTGCTGAAAAGCTGACTTAGGCAATGAAGGGGCTCTTGGAAGCTCTTGGTTGCAGAAGGGGTCAAGGCCTCACGTACCCACGGGCTTGCCAACGCGGGGCAGGGCTGCCCCAGAGCTGGCACGGCGGGTAGAAGGCGTCACCYGTCGCTGCGTCCCGCCGGATCCCTTCCGTCCCTGCAGGCCCTTCCAAACCCCCTGCACCGGGGCTGCTTCCACTTGCGGCCCCGCGGGCCCTCTCCCTTCCCRTGGGCTGTGTTTCAGACGCACCGTGGCCCCCGCGAGGCCGTGGGTTCAGCCCTGCTCCCGCACCGCTCAGCTCCCTGCCCTGCTCCACCGCAGCATCCGCGGGGAAGATCCCGAGGGAAATGCCCGGGGAGCCCAAACCACGAGGGGGTCACAGGGCTGTCCCCAAGGGCCCAGCACAGGGACACTGGGGAAAGCTCAGGAAGCTTCAACAAACGCTCAGGGTGGCATCTGACCAGGACGGATTCGCTCAGCCTGTTGCTCCGCGGTTCCATCCCCGGCGTCCCACAGACGCCCTAACAGCCRAGCAAGGGGCGACACGCGCTGCTTCCCCTCGCGGTTTACGGCTCYGTGTAACTAATAACGGTGACGCAGCAAGAGGCCCTACCGGGCCAACGAGCCAGGCAAGGGACAGACCGCGGCAGGAAGGGGCAAATGGCACCGGGGACGGGGCCTTTCCACGGGCTTTTCCTCAACCGGGCCGCTTACCGGGCGCCTCGGGGCACCGCCAAGGCAAGCGCTGGGCACAAACCGAACCCAACGGAACCGCCAGCGCCTCGACGGCGGCGCGCGGCTTCCCGGGGAAGCAGGGAAGGGACGGGAGCGGGGAACCGGCCAGGAAATGAGCGACACACACACACCAGACAGGAAGGCTTTATTGGGAGAGCCACCAGCGCGGCGGCGGCGGCGGGAGGCGCCCCAGGGGCTGCCGCGGGCCCCGCGCCACAAACCGCCCCCCCCCCCGCGCCGTTGCCATGGCGACAGGCGCGTGACGCCCGCGGGGCATGACGTCACCGCGACGCCCAGGGGAGGGGCTCCCCCCGCCCGCCCGCCCGCCACGCGCGGAGCCGCCACGCGCGGCCCGTTACGGCGGGGCCCGTTACCGGCCCCGCGCGGGGGGGGGGAGCGGAGCGGGGCGGGGCGCACCGCGGAGCGCCGCGATTGGCTGGCCGGGAGGGGCAGGGCGGAAGCAGCGCGCAGCACTCACCCGCCGCAACCGTCAGCCTCGCGCGCACCCACCGCCGTCCGCCCGTTGCCTCGGTGAGGATGAGGCGTCCCGCCCTCACGCCCCCCCGCTATTGGTCAGAGCCGGCCAGGCGACCGGAAATAGCGTGGAGGCGCCGCGGCGGCGCGCCAATCGCGGCGCGAGGGCCAGACGGGGCGTGGCGTTAAAGGGCCAGGCGCCCTCTCGAGCCCCCCCCTCCCGCGGGGGCGGGGCGGGGCGGGGGCGCAGGCGCCGTGGGGACGGTTTTTGGCTGCGCACTGACGGTTTAACCGACGCAAGAGGCCCTGGTTTCTGGGGTTCCTCAGGGAGGTGCCTGGCTCTCTTGCTCAGGATCAAATTAATTGGAATGTATTTAACATATATATGTGTTATATGTATTTTWTATATATATATGTTAAATATATATGTATTTTATGTAGGAGCTTCTCCCGAGCTCAGATCTTAGCCCCTCCCCGTCTTTACAAGAAACGACCGCAGCAGCCGGTGGTTAAAACGGTTGCTGACAGAGGCGGCAGAACTTGGGGCCTCCGCAGGCCGGTTGTCCGAGCACCGTTTGCCTTGGCCAAACTGCACCTCGAAAGGGAATCTCTACAAATTAATTTTCCTCAGGTTCTGCCTGGAGGTCATCTCATTCACAATCTGTAATGCCATGCAAATCTATTCAAAGCCTGTCTGGTAATTTAATCGCTTGTGCTTCTCATCATCATTCTCATTAAAAAATACAATATTTTGGCCCCCCTAGCATGTGTGGTGGTTCAGCCTGCTGCCATTATGTGGTACATAAGTAATATACTGTATTAAAGAAATGACAGGAGTTTGAGCACTATATTGTCAGGAAACACACACTCTTAGCCCACTACCTGAGAGAAATAGCACAACTGTCCTTTTTACACCCCAATTTCATTCCATCTCCACTATAGCCTAATCTTCCTTCTGGACATGCAGAACACTCCTTCCTATCTCCTTACTCTCATAGTGACCTCCTTTTTCACCCAATAAATAAATACATGCTCCACTAATTTTTGTATTACTGCTTTGTTTCATAAATGTTTCATAAGCCTCGAGATTTTGATGATTTCATGAGAAATGCCATGAACGAATAAAAAAAAAAATCTATTTTCAACACACCTTTTAGGGAACCTTTATGAAGGTCGGCTTGTCTTTCACATTACCAGCTGCTTCCTCTTATGTTGGGTAAAACTGCAAGAAATCAATACTTCAGTAAAATCTGAGGTAGTAACATGGTACTTCAGATGCATGTGCTTCAGCTTAGTTACTTCTCAGAACTTAAAATGGTTGTACRTATCCGAGAACAACCATTGAGGTATTGTACTGGTTGTTATGATGATGGGAACAAAAGTCCGAGAAAAGGGGAAAATTGCTTGATACCTCTGAAAGTTAGAGCCCATCTAAGATTGATTCTTTCGTTACTAAGATCACGTAACTTCATCAAGAGACCTGTAACAATCAGTTTAACTATTCATTTGATGGTACCCTTGAGAGTTGGAGATGTTAAGCATCAACTACACATACAATGAAGCAGGGGATCATCATCATAGCTCAGATTTCCTTTCTAGCAGCTTTGTTTGCTTCTTTGTTTCTCTTGTGACACACCTGGACAGCTTCGTTACATAAGGAGATCATGATGTAGCAAAATTACTTTATCCTCACACTATAAAAAGAAACATTCCAGTCAAATATGAGTTTAATCTCAGTTTCAGCAGGTTTCGGTGCTTTTGGACATCTGTCAAAGGGCAGAGGAGCAAGGAGAAATGAGTGGAAGAGGAGGAGAAGACGTATCCCACTCCTATGGCCTTCCACCTTCAGCAAAAGAGCCTCAGATTATCAATCTAAAGCAACTAGTACTTCAACTGAGAGTTTTTTTGGGAAGCAGCCAGTGAAAATATAGGCAAGAATGTAAAAACACTGTCTTTTGTCAACCATCCCAATTTAGGTTAAGATCATTACAATCCAGTCCTGCCATCAAYAGAGACAGCAGCTGAATAGACTGACAAATATGAACAGAAACTGTTACTTGAATGATTGCATGCAAGAGGAGAATGGCATCTAATGCAATTGTAAAGACTGGAACCAATCCATTCAGATGCTGRATTATTAATCTCCCTGAATCTGCCCTATCTTTGCAGGTAGCGTAAATAAGCCCGCAGTCTTTTCCAGGCATGCTTGTTGTTTTCTCTGCAAATGAAGAGGCCCCTTCTTTGACACCGAGCCAGTAAAATAATGTTTTTTCCAGATAATGAGCAACTTTGCATGAGGAGAGCACTCTAGCATCTTGGACCTGTCTAAATAGCATTCCCTGTGCTCCCAGCTGCTCAACACCCACACATAGTTATTTCCAAGGCTTGTCCCGTAGCATCTCAAAAAAAGGATCTAACCCAGTATGATACACTCTTTCAGCCAGCTTTCACAGTTGTAACTAGACAGGGGCCAAATCACAAGGCACAAGACTTTTGAGAAATGAAACTTCAAATATGCATTTGTCAGAGGTTGCCAAAGCAATGAGAGTTTTGTCTCCGTGCCTGAAAGATGGAAAATGAGTTATATGCATACTGGGTATGTATTGGCAATTATAGCAGGGTAGTCATCTCCTCATCAACTATTGTGGGAAGCCAACCAGGCAGGACTCACAGAACAGTGGTTTTCAAAGTCGTATCTTTTCATGCCATASAAAAACATGCTGCAGACTTAATGATGACAATTTAAAAAAACATATTTTGGAAAACAGACCAATTTGGTGACTAAGTAGAACTTGGACTAGATTTTCTCCGYGGGTTTTATCATCTCATTATTTTCATGGCTTTTGACCTGCATGGTTGCTCTCTGCAGCTTTGTCCAAAGCAAAGTCATTTTATTGCATTCAAGGTGTGATACAGGTTTCARCAGGCGCTCCTCACAACATCCCTGACAGATTCTGTGATACTAATCCAACGGCAACAAAGGGAAAGAATTCAAGATAGTTATGTTTGCTATGAAGCTTTAATTGCCAAAATGATTTTCATATTGGAGAAGATCTGATCTTCAAGATGTAAAATGAGAAAAAAAAGATCCCATTCATATCCCTAAGTCTAGCTCATAAGCTCTATCAGCAAACTCACTTTTCAGAGTGGTTGAGATTGATATAAACATCTGTGTGAATTTATTTCAGAAAAGAATTTGCACTTTTAATCTTTAAATTACCTGTTTGTAAGGCATGCATTTAAGTTTATTAATGTTAGTCTGTTCTGTATATTTACAAGAAACTGGTTTACCGCAGTCATTGGTGTTCAAAGCATCTTTGCCTATGAAGGTGACTSAAATGAAAATTTTTGGCCTCTTGAGAAAACAAACTAACCTTACTAGTACATTTAAGTATTATTGGTCTGCATACGCTCATTTTGTGCTATTAGCAGAGTCTTGCAGCTAGTTCTGTGGACACCGTGTTGTGCAGAGGCCCCTGGTCTCAGTAAGGGGAGAGAACCCTGTCTGCCTCTGAGCTTCTACAAAGCACGAAGCTTCCTTCACTAGAGCAAAATTTAAAAATTAAAAAAAAAGAAAAGCTAACAAAACATTTATTTTGCAAAGTCAAGCAGTTGGACAACAAAATACAACAAAGATTGCTTTTCTTCATGGAATTCTTCCTTTCAGACCACAGCTCAAAGAAAATAATCCATTCTTGTAACTGAAAAGAAATCCCGTAGTTGATGTCAAAAGTTCTATACTTGTTTTTTCATTTTGACATGGTTTTGTTTCCCAGGCATTTTCATTCAGTTTCCTCATACAGAGCTCTCAAATTCACCAGATGAGAAACACTTCTTATCAATCTGCCAGTTTTTGAAGCTTCTCCTTGACAACTAGTACTCGTCAGGAGGAAAAAAGTAAAAAGGGGGGGGGGGGTTATTAGAGGGAATTAGTGGGCTTTTCCCCGTCCCTGTCTGTCAGGACATCCTGGAGAACAGTTCTGGGGAGCAGCAGATGCTGAGCTCAGCGCCACGCTGCTTCCCGGGTTCCCTCTCTGCCGGGGCTGCCCTGTGGTCCCGGCTGCGGAAGCCTTCAAGGAGCAGGATCAGCCGCTCCAGCTGTGCTCCCATCCCTGCTCCCAAGCCCTGTGCGAGCCCAAGCCATCCATTCCCGAGCCATCCATTCCCAGGTCAGCTCAGGCACCCACTCCCTCCTTGATGGTCCTGGTGTTAAGGGGGAGAGGAGGAGGGTAGGGAGCTTGTCTGGGAGGTCTGCACTCTGCAGCAGTGGATTTTCCGTGCATGATTTTAACTACAACCACCTCTAGAAGTCACTACCCTTCTGAGACAGTTTGCTATTCTTAGTCCTTTTGGTAACCACCTCTGTTAGGGCTTATATTTTCCATGGAAATTGTGCCAACGCATTTGAGCAGCGGTTCAGCCACACACACTGCAGATTGCAATGGACAACGTTCCTGACGTTACAGCCTTTGTCAATCCTCAACACAGGCTGTCAAAAGTCAATCTAAATCACTGTCAACCACAACCATCTTGCCTCTCTTCCTTCCTATCCTTTGCCCCAGAAACACGAGAARGCTGTACATGTACTGGGCAGAATTTCAGCGTGAAGCCGTGAAATTTGTGCGGTGCCAAGGAGCGCACAGGACACGGTCCAAAGGCATTTGCCTGTACAGGAGTGGCAACCAGCCTTTGGCTCATGCCTTACTTCAAGGACAGGACGAAAGTAAGATTTGCCAGTGCACTCCACAGATCCTAGAAGCAAAGTTGTTCAAAGCTGGCATAGCCTCGCATGGCTGAAAATGAGCTGGAACAGCGTTGAGGTTGCATTACTCATGTGCTGGTGGTGAGGAGGATATAAAGTAATAATGACCTTAAGTGACATTCAATTTAAGTTGGATTCAGGACCCYCACAGAAACATTCCTATTTGTAACACTGTACATCAAGCACAGAAAAAGTACACTAGACAGCAGATCTTTCTGTCACCTTATTTTTAAGGGCAAGGCAGCAGCACTGTCCTGCTTTTGTTGCTCTTCTTACTGCCACAGCTACAAAACTGRTCTCAGGTATGTAACTCAAG